CATTGCCAGACAGAAGAAAAGGTTTACATCAAGTACTTTTCCTTCTCTGAAAAGACCAAGAGAAGAGTGCCAACTATGACTGGACTGGGATGTGAACACTGCAACAAAGAATGAGATAACAAATCCAATGTTACCAATATGTAACACTGAAGTCCTACTGTCCTTGAGTTGAACTACTTGTGTCTAAAATCTGTCTATACTTAGAAAAAACCCCAACAAAACAAAAAAACTCCAAGGAATATTGTGAGTTCCAGGAAAAACTATCCAATGTGAAAGTCAGCTCTACTGGCATCTTTATGAAGAGAAAAAGGCACTACATTAAATAAGCAAAGCTATAGGTAGAGTTTGGAATTCTTTATGAAGCTAGAGCTTGGAAAGGCAGGATACCAAAGCTCACTTTAGTGGTCCAGAAGTAGGAAAGGTGAAGACTTCAAAGAACTAGAAAGGAAGAACTACTGACTTGGCTGATTCAGAACTGGGGTTTATTTTGAGCTCTGTCCTTAACCTCTTTCTTTGACCTTGGCCGTGCCACTTTGCTGCTTATTTTCTGTGCCACTTTGTGGAACACAACCATGGTGACTTTTAAAAAGCACTTTGCTAACTGGCATGAACATCCTCAGCAAAATGTTTCAATGTAGTGTAAATAACAAACATGTTTTGCTGAGGCAGTCAAAAAAGGAGCAAATAACGCTTTTGCTAGTTCTCTGCAGTATTAGTTATCTGGCATTAGTCCTACAGCAACGCTGGCATATCTGACATTGACAGACAAACAGAAACAAACAGAACTAGCTTCATTATTTACAATACTTCACTAAAACCAACAGGACTGTCCTTTTTGATCCTAAGCATTATGTGACCCTCCTCTGGTCAGAAATGAGACTCGAATCACAGGTAAGAGATAAAAGGAAGGGAAACTCCTAAGAGCTGTGCTAAACACAGCGATGTTGACTTCAGTGGGCATTTCCAGTTGTTTTTTTTCTATATCTCAGCATTTAGATTATTTAGGTGCCTTCACACCAGGAAAAAAAGTATTACCAATTCTGTAACATACGCTCAAATGGTTCACCAACACGCAGCTAAAGAAGGAGAGGTTGGCAATATCACCAGATGAAGAAAGGAGAGGCAACCAGTGAGGACTCTGTCAGATTAATAAGATTAAATTTCATATAGAATAAATTGAACCCCTTATATCAAATGCCAAAATAAAAAGAGAAATACTTATCTCCTCACACAGCAGAACCAAAGAGCTTTCCCAAATCATCTTCCTTCTCTTGTGTAGTTTATACGACTGTTGGTAATGCCACTGAAACACTTGCCCACCAGACTCACCTCTGACTGAACTGACATTCAACAAAATAATTTCAGGGACTCTAAAAATAAATCACAGGTGTGCAATTTATTCTGTAAAGACCTTTATGCACTCATTTCCTGCTAGCATCCCGAAATCAGTGAAATAGGCAGCCCCCAGAACCTCCAAGATTTACAATAAATCTGCCTCAAACAAACACGGTAGTAAACTTATAGGGCACCTTCTCTACTCTCTAAACTTGGTTTGGTATGCTTTTTGGCAAGGAGAATCTCAAGAAATAGACATCTTCTGGAATTGTCAAATAAATCCCCTTAAGTTCAGTCCCTGTACAAGACGAAGTTACCTCCTAAAGTAATTAAAATCCTATATTCATTATTTACACCATCAGAAACATTGACAACTATTATTTTGGTATGTACTATTTGAGTCCACAAAGCTGCCATAGTTTAAATTAAAAGGGATTTTTTTTTTAAATCCTTATATAATTGGGTAATTTCTCAGACTTGTATTAATGTGCCCACTTGACACGTTACTGTTCAAAATGTAATGTGACCTTAAAAGATTCAACATAAAGCACTGTCCTTATGCATTCTCTATCTGCTGAAATATAGGCAGACATCTGAAAACAAGACATTCTCTGATTTTCTTCTATTCCAGTAGAAAACTTGATTCTGAATAAGGAAACTCTGTTCTTCTGCACTCCTCCATATGGTTCCCTAACTCCAAACTAACTCATCGTGCAGCTTCAGGTGCATAGTGTAGGTCCCAGCTGGTGCAAGACGAGAGGTATGAGAATCACTATTACTCAACATCGGCAGTACCAATCAGTAGATCAATACAGCTGATGCTCCCATGAAAGCTCTACAGTTCTTATAGATGTTTAGTACATTGTAAGAAATGTGTCTGCAAGAATCACTTCCAAGTTCTTGCAAGGAGAAGCTGTTCCCTCACCAGAGACACATTACTGCCTATCAGTAGGTGGGTGGTAACCTGCACAAAGAAAATGCTACATTCATGTAATTCTGCAGAAACAAAGCTATGGAGAAAACCCGTTCTTGATTACCCAGAGTAATCAGGAAAACTAAGCACATCAGGAAAATAGAGAAAATGCAAGCTGTATAAAAATCAGGATGCAATAACATACTTAGTCCACTAATCTTTATGAAACTAACAGAAAGCCTTCCACAGAAAACAGAGCAGAGAAAATTGCAAGATGCTTATTACATATAATGGAATAGTGATTTGAGCAATGCAGTGACAGAATAATCAAGAAAAACATGACTTGGGCCTACAGTCCCCTATCCCTATAAAAAAGCTCCACCATTGTCATAATCTAATATTTATGATACTTGCTCTATAGATTCACTCTAAAAGGAACATATGTATTTTAAAACATTCCTTCCACGACACAGTCCAGAATGAGGAACTCCATTTTGTTTAACAAAGTAAATAGATGTTGTAATATCTCAAGCCCATACTCAAGGTTACTAATTCATCTTATTTCAAAAGACAGAAGCAGAACAATCAATTTGCCCTAAAATATCTCAAGTTCTTCCCTCCAGTATCAGCTCCTACTATTTGTTTACCTTCCTGAATGTAATGCTGCTTGCTCCAGACTTAGCTGGGATAGAATTTTCCATATATCCATCATTTCTGTACTAGATTTGGTGCTATCTTTGGTCAAGACCACCTTTCTCCTACAAACATAGGACATCTCTGAATCCTCCCATGGGCATTCCCACTCGTTCTTCCTCTTTCTTTACTATCGTTTCCTCTCAAATGAGGGAAATTAAAGCAATATATATAGCAAACCCCTCAGCTTCTCACTGACAATTTACAGTGCAACACCATTATGCTCTGCTGATTCATTGTGACAAGAGACAATTTACTCTTGCTGCTGATGGTACAGATGTTTTCTAGCATCCACATCTGTTTGACTGGCAACATTGTGCACTGGTGTCCCTCCAGTTGGTCTGGTTCTCTTGTTGATATGTTTCCCTTTTGACAGCTAGCAGTCTCTGGTCCGAATAAAACAGTGAAATACCCTTAGCTAGCAATTTTTCATCTTAGAAATACCTTGCATTCTAAACTTCAAAAATGTTCAGCCAGTACTAAACAATAAAGTCTTAATGGCCTGTGAGTAAAATAAGCAAGTAAATATTTTCTTTGCTAAGGAGGAAAGGCGCAACACTTAAAGGCAATTATTTCTTATTCACAGATGCAGCCAGTAATCCATTAATTAAGCAAATCATTCCTTAATTTTACAGCATTTATCAACATGCCCATATATACTGCCATCTGTAAGGGAGGGTTTAGATATAAGGGCATCTTTATAGACATTAAGATTGCCTTACTCTAACAAAAAGGGAAACTTTAATAGTATAAGAATAATATTGTAGAAGCTAATTTGAAAGCTCTCATAGTTCCTATCTGCAAACTCACTAATGATACTTTTTTTACACCTTCACAACAAACCATATAAATTCACTGTCACAGCATTTGAGGCAAAAGAAACACGAGAAGATTCTGCAAGGCCTGGAAATTTACAGCATTTTAATAGTTAATGCTAGCTCATTTGAATCTATTTAAGATATTAAAATTCCCATCTGTCAGACCTCTTTGCTAATATCACTGCCCTCAAAGCAAAAGGGAACATATGCCTGCATCCCAGCCACTCAGGTCACAGTGCTCCTTTTTAACTCAAGCCATAAATGAAAAAGAGTTCATACTAACACACCAACCTAAACCACCACAGCCATCATGCAAATATGTGTTTGCTCTTGCCATCTAGACATAGCCAAGCAGAGAAAAAGGCTAATCAGCTGCATAAGGCATCAGGAAAGGAAATTATGAGCTTTAAACTACTGCAATAATTTGCTCCCACACTCTTCATGTTCTATATGTGTGTTTGAATTCAAGGCAATTTCAAGTCTGTGAAAAGAGACATACTATCAGAACAATACCCAAGTGGCAGACAGTAATGCTGTTGGTATTTCAGAGTACCTAAAATCACCACGATTCCTACAATCCTAACTACCAAAGTTCAATCCCCATGTTCTATAATGGCTCAGCTGCATCCCATGTAAAGCATCACAAACATCAGCTGAAATCCTGGGTGTACAAGGACATTTTATTTACCCAAGTTAATGTTTCTGTCAACACCAGCTCTATGATGGATAAAGAGAAGATTCAATTCAGCTGGGATGGGTTAAATCTCCCATAAGGAAAACAAGCTTGTATCTCACCTATACAACAAAATCTAGCAAGTAAATGAAAGCTTGGGAGCATTTATCTTAATAATACAGAGGAGTATTTACGCTTCCAGAAAGTGGAAAGAGAATACACATTTGAAGTTCAGTAAGACTTTCCAACACAAGGAAGTCTGCTGAAATGCCAATAAAACTGGACGCTATTTACGTATGTATATTAACTACTGGAGAAACATGCTTCAATTACAATTGCTTTTGCATCCAATCAGTAAAGTTTCTTATATAGAATGAAAGTATTTACATGTTTCCTGCAGTCTGTAGCACCATACTATACAAAAATAAACCCCTCTGGGATTAAATTAGAGGATACAGTGGTTCACAAGAAAGGATCACTAGATTACCATTACTCGTCTTTTTTCTTTGTATGATTTCTTTTCAGACCCATACCCCAGCACCCTGACTGTTCACTGTGTAACACTTACTGTTGCTGGACTTCAGGTCACGGTGAATTATGGGAACAATCGCTTCCTCGTGCAGGTAGTTCATTCCCCTCGCAATCTGTACTGCCCAGTTCACTAGTATGTCAGGAGGTATCCTTTTACCAGACAACACTCTATTTAGCGATCCTCCACGAGCAAACTCCATGATCAGGCAAAGATTAGGTTCCTTTAAACACACGCCCCTGAGGGCAATGATGTTGGGATGTTTTAACATCGCAAAGAGCTTGGCCTCCTGGCGGACATTCTCAATGGTCTGGCTGATGTCCTCGTCAGGGTCATAGCGAGCTGCCTTGACAGCAACCTCATCTCCTATCCACACAGCTCGGTACACTTTTCCGAAGCCCCCTATGCCAATGATTTCCTCCAGAACAAGCTCTGAGAAGTCAATCTCCAGGACTAGGGAAAGAGGAAAAAAAAAAGATGTAAATGTTTAGCAACAATGCAGCCTGTACATCACCTGAAGGTCCATGTTGCCCAACCTCACCCTTACCCTTGGAGGAAGGGCTGATTTTCACTCCAAAACAATACGAATGAAAGCAGTAGTCCCTTCCAACCATCTTTTAGTGCCAAATAGTGTCGTAAAATATATCTTGCAGTATCATAAAACTTGCATGAAGTACTTGCTGTAAATGACGAATGACAATAAAATAGCCTCCTCTTGCCACACTTAAACTCTTACAACACTGATGCCCCCTCCCACTACTTACAGCGAAACTTGCATTGACAGTACAAGATTCCAAAAAAGAAAAACACACAAACTAATCTTCACTGTGTTCACAATACAGTGCTTAATGTGAGATATCTAAAACTCAGCACAAAATGCATCTGCTTCTGCATTTGTCCTTCATTTAAATGTCTCTTATTCAATTGCCACAACAATCTTCTATTCCTTCCCAAATCAAGCTTATTCTTCCATACCTCTACAGGCTCTGCAGATTCATCCCCCACAAGAGATCTGTCAACCAATTCTGATGCTTCTGACAATAGTGTGACAGACAGATGGATCAGACCACACACTGAGTATGCAGTGCTTGCAATAAGAAATTTTTTTTTATTACCACATACTGCATTCTTATTACAGAAACTTCCTACTCCTGTGCACTCACAGCTACACTTTACAGGCTGACATAGTAACTGGTGGATATTTGGCATTGTATAGGAAAAATCTACAGATGCAGGTGTCTTAATTCAACACACAAATTGCATCTGGAGCAAAAGCAGTGAGAAAATGCGTCCTGTACAATGCACACTAAACACAGCTTATGCTCATGGGTGGCCAAAAGAACCCATCCAATACTGACTAATGTAGAATGAAAGCCCCAAATAATGACCAACGAAAACATGCTGACACAGCTGAATTTACAGCAATGGTAGGCCACTGGAGAGATACCATTCTGTCCAGTAGAAATGCTATTCTGTCTGATATTTGGCTGATTACAATTACAGTCAATGAAATTTTTAAAAGTTTTAAAGGAAGAATATCATAATGCAAGATTTAAGCAGAAAGTCACCAAGACTTTTAATACTTTCCTGCATTTGGAATGCCAAATCTGACATGGTTCCCCTGTTTTGTTTAGTAGAAAGGAAGTTAATCCTGTAAGGGAGCAGATTAGATCACATCAAAGTAAACTATTTTCCTTATTTCAATCAAATGTCTTTCCTAAGAAGACAGGACTTTGTTACAAAACTGCATGGACTTAGTACAAACTCTTCTGTCCAAAGCTGTAGGCTTTTTTTCTATTTTTGCCTGAGCTCTGTCTTTCCTGAACACGATTTTTCAAAGTCTGGCTTACTATTTTAAGTCAGTCAAACCTATAAACTAGTTCAATAAGGATACTTGTGCTCCTTTTCCTGGTGTTCCATGAACAAAAGACTCATGGAAAACAAGATAGAGAACTGGCCAGGAAAGTTTTCCAAGAGGAGAAAAGGTCCCTTCCAATGTACAACACAAAAATAATTTACTTTTCTGCTACTGTGAGTACATATTTTGGGTAACATTGACCTTCAAGGATTTGCAAAACAAAGAAGATTTCACTCCTGCAGTAGCAGCCTTGGTGCTGATGAGATAGAGATTACCAGAAAATACGAAGAAGACTCTGACCTGAAACACTGAAATTTTAGAACAAGGTTGTAATGACAATAACTCCAGATAAGAGACTGAGAATGTCACTGAGACTACACAAAAGGAGCTGCTCTTGCATTTCTCACTAATAAAAGAGCAAAAGAAATCAGATGTTGAGTCCTATCTCTTCAGTCAGTAGAATTTCAGCACTGTTATAATCCTCAATTAACCTGTTCCTAGGGACGAGCTCAGTTACAAGACTGAAAATGAACAAACACGTAAGCCACAGCACCGGGCGACTGCCTGCCCCGCAACCTCGGGACACACAGCATTCCGGTGCTGTTCCCAGTCCGTGTTCTTCTCCTCCGGCATTCCACGCACCGAGAGCGCAAGAAGGAGGCGCCGAGCGAGCCGTCCCGCAGGTGCTGAAGGGACAGCTCCGGCGGCAGCGATGCCGGCGGGGTGGAGGGACGGGACACGGGACGGCCCCGCGGCCGTGCAGGGGAGAAGCGCGGCAGGAAGGGGTCAGGCAGGAGAACGAGATGGGCAAAGGAAACCGAAGGGATGGAAAGTAGAAGCCTTTGTGTGCCGTCACCCATTTTCCGTCAGAAAAAGCACATGCCTGCTGGACGCACAAGTTAACAGGGCTGGGACGTAAAACAGAGAGACTTCAGCTTCCGGATGAAATGTCATGAGTGACGCTGAATGTTATTTTATTTGCAAGTACGGCCTTAACTTTAACTTTGAAAATGTATGTTTCTTTAAGGCAGACTGCCCAGCTCACCCTGATGTGTGGCTTCATCAGAAAAACCCTTCATTTTAATAAAAAATATTCTGGGGTGGTTTTTTGTTTGTTTGTTTGTTTTGGGTGGTTTTTTGTGTTTTGTTTTGTTGGAGTTTTTTTGTTTGGTTTGGGGATTTTGTTTTGTTTTTGTTGTGTTTTTTTTTAAAAGCTATTTTGTGCTGAATTAGCTTGTTTTCAAAGACTGAATTATACAGCTACATTAGGGCACAAAATACTTGTTTTTCTCCATATTTCTAAACACACTAACCCCATCTCTAAACTCCATCATAATTTGGCAGACACGTTGTACTGGACTATACAGGCAATGGGAATGTTTAAGGGGCATTTTTGCCTCAGAATTTAAGAAATAAAGCACTATCATTCCTCTAGGGACTGATAAAGAATTACAGAGCCTGTACACCACGAACCAGTGGCCATGCTGACAACTGCAAAGCAGGTGCTTTTAATCAGCACTTACTATACCATATGATTAAGCTATTTAATTCATTTTGAAGCGTATAAGAGCCCACACTGCAGATGAGGGTCCTTCAAGTTGGTCCACTGCTGACAGCCTCTACAAGCTACTTACTTTTATCATTCTTGCCTCTCTGAGGTAAGATTCAGGCACACTAATAGGATGACTAAAATTACCAGCCATACTAGTTCACCTCTCAGTGAAAGCAGAATCTCAAGGACTTATACTCCTAATCCATCGTTAAACACGAAGATAAACTTTACGAAAGCAAGTAAAAATATTTTCTGTGCAGAGGTGTATGTCTGGAATGACACTTTGCGTCACTCCTGCAAAGCGTTAACAGTTCACTGTCCAGTAAGAGTAGACTGTTATTCCAAACAGCTAACAAACTAACATCACCAGCTGTAAAAGGAAGTATCATTCCTTGCAAAGGATTTCTAACATTAAACTTGAAAATCCACTTCAACAGCGGCCAACTTTAACAAGACTGTCCAAATTGCATTGTTTCTTTTAAGAAAGAAATGTACTCCTTAGGCATTATACGCACCTATTGGAGGGCAGTAAGTTCTACTCTGTCATGAACAGATGATGATGATCATCAAGGCTGATAACTTGACAGAAGAGAAGTATCATAGCCCTGTTGTGGCATGAAAGACAAGAGTAAAGGGGGAAGATACAACTCCACAACTGTTCTCGAACTGTCAAACCATAGAAAATGCAGCAAGAAAGGAGAATCCACAGTTACAAAGCCTGCACTTGAACACTCAAAATAGGATGGGAGCTGAGGGTTCAAAGAGTTCTGTGGAAATGGTTCTCCTAACCACCTCAAAGGCAAAACCTAGTAAGATTAATTCATAGTGTTTTCTGCATGTGGGGAAAAAATAATTTATCCATACTGTAGCAGCATGAAAGAAAGGACCACCACTGCCAACCTAGTCCCTTCACAAGCCCAAGGGCAATGCTACAAATTACAGAGTTTTACCTAAATACTTTCAAGCGGAACACAGAATAAGAAAAAAAAAAGCTATTAGTTGTATTCCTTGGAGATATGACCTACATAGGACAAAGCATCTTTTCACTCTTTTACTTTCTAGAAAAGCCTACTAGTCTGAAGATTTTTCTCTGCCCTCCAAAAAAAAGCATTATCCTTGCCTGAATTGTCAACAGTGTTAGATAAACAGGATCCAGAAACAGTCATGCCATGCTGTTTCTCTTTCCACAATTGTATGTAGTGGCTAAAAAAATGTAGAGATGAAACAGCCCTATTCTCTATCTCTAACAAAGGCTTTCAAACTGCCATGAAGTTCACTGAAACAATTCCTTCATGCCTTCAGCATCACAACTTACTCAAGTAACCCTCAGGCAGGCCTAGCCACCCAAATGCAGATAGAACTCATTCACAGGTATTTCAGGACAAAATTTGTACGAGAGTAGAGGAACCTGGTAAGACAAGTCAACTTAGGAATTTTTCAGTCAGCAATAATAAGCGTTTGGTTAGGAGGAAGGAAGATACTAAACAAGTATTAGCAGTGAATCAACACTGCAGAAGGCAACTGCTTCCTATCCAACAACCCTTCCTTAAGGATATTCTTAAAGGGAGAGTCACCAGAGCCCCCACTGACACCACCACTGCACAGCCGCCAGGCTTCAGCCGTTTGATGAAAATTTATCAGCCTCTGGAAACACACTTAACAATGGGAAACTGCTCCTGGCGCCGGTGAAACGCCAACAACACACTGAGCGAGGCTCGGCCTCCCTGGAGCGGCGCGCTAGCCTGGAACACAGAAGGGCACTGGTGCAGCAGGAATGCGTCCGCGGGTGGGAAAGGGAACGGACCAGGGTCCTGGGGCAGCCCCAGGGCGAGAGGGGCCGAGACGCGGCAGCCCCTCCGCTCCTCGCTGAGGGCCATGGCAGGGCCCGCTCAGCCCAGCTTCCCCCGCCGCCGGCCGGGCCCGCGGCCTCCCACGGCCGTTCCCCACCTGGATGGGCCTTCCCTTCCCCTTCCAAGGCGGACCCGGCTCCCGGTAGGACCCACCGCAGGGCCGGCCCGGGCCTCCCCACGCGTCGGCGGCGGTCCCGCCTCCCCCGGGCACCGCGGGAGGACCGGGCCACAGCTCCCCCCGCACCACCTCGGTAGCCCCGCTGGCCCGGTCCCCCTTGCCCCGGTGACCTACACCCCTCTGGCCCAGGGGAGCATCGTGACCGCGCCTCTTCCCCCTCCCCCGGCTCCTTCCGTCCCGGCGGAGAAGCCCCGCCGAGCCCCCCGCCCCGGCCCGGGCCCCCTTACGCTGTATGGCGGGGGGCGGCGGGTATCGGGCGCGCAGCTCCGGGCCGCCCCCCGGCACGCCGCTGCTCACGTAGTTGCTGGGGAAGATGCCGACGCGCTGGTCGATCTTGCCCGTCCACCAACCCTCGTCGCCGGACACGTGCGAGTCCCGGGACAGCACCTGCACCACGTCCCCCGGCCGCAGGCTCAGCTCGTCCTCGCCGCACGCCTCGTACTCGAAGACGGCGGTCCAGAGCGGCCCGCCGCCCGGCGGCTCCCCGCCGCCCGCGCCCTCTTGGCTGAGCTCGGTGAGGGGCTCCATGGCGAGGCTGCTCCATAAGGGGAGGCGCCCACGGCAGCCGGGCACTGCGGGGGACGGCGGGGCCGGGACCGCCGCCTATTGTTCATGCGGCCCGGCGCCCGCCGGCACCAGGTGCCGCTGCCGGGGAATCCCGGCGCGAGGCCGCCTCAGCCCAGCGCGGGCAGGGGCGACAGCGGGAAGTGTGTGCCGTGGAGGTGTCGCCGCATCCCCCCCATCCGCCGCCTCCTCCGCGCCCGCCTCCGCCTCCCGCCAGCGCCGCGCATCCCGGAGCCACCTGACTCTCTGGCAGCTTCGGCGGCAGCCGCGGAGGGCAGCGCGGCCCCGCCCCCGCGCCGCCATTGGCCGCCGCCGCCGCCCGTCAGCACCGCCCTCACCTGATTGAAGGCCCGCGCCCCCTGGCCACGCCCCCTCACGGCCCCAGCGTCGCGCACTCCCCGGGGTCCTCTCGATTGGCCCCCGCCTGGGCATCGCGCGCTTTCCATTGGCCTCGAGCTCCGAGCTCCGCCTTCCCCGCCTCTTCTCATTGGCTGGGAAAGGGGCATGACACGCTCCGGGGTCGGATGGGCGGGGCGACCTCTCCAGCCGGCGGCCGGAGGGCGGGGCGGGGCGGGGCGGGCGCCCCCTGCCGGGCTGAGGCGGCGCACACCTGAGGGCAGCAGCGCCCTCCTCCGACAGGGGTGTGCCCCGCACCCGGGGAGCCGCCACGGCCCCGGGGAGCCGTCTGGGCCGCGGGCTCGGGCCAGAAACCAAAACAAGGTATTCACTTGTGTTCACTTATTCCGTGTTCCGCCATGCTCCGTCTGTGCTTAAGCGCAGGTGTCAGGTGGTTTCAACACGAGGTTAACCTGGGTGCGTCCTTGCCTTTGTTAAAAATAAACAGAATCTACTTCTCATTCTTGAAATCAGCATGTAGCTTCTTGGTCCTGAAAATCCAAATTCCTCCTCCCTGCTACCGAGGTTTTTACAGCTTGTTGAGAAGCCAAACCTTGCAAATGGAATCTGTTTGCTCTTGATGGTGTTATAGGCAGATTTTGTTTCTATTTCACTACAGTTTTCTTTAAAAATCATCATTCAATTTTCAGTGGTAAAACTGGAAATGAAAAGTCCCTGTTCATGATTCGTCGTAACAAAGCCTGGTGAAGCCTAATGAGAACTCCAGATATCCTGACCACACCTGATGTCTTGCCACTTATCTTGGGCTTAATTACTCTTTAGTGTTTAGTAAATGCAATTACTCAATTCTTCTCTGCAAGATGAATTTAAAAAAAAAACACACCATACCTGAGTGAGGCCTCTCTTTTGCTTTATGTACAGAGTAACTGATAATAAGTCTTTAAATTCTGTGCATTGTGGTTTTGTGTATTCATTTATCCTTGTGTTAGCACTGTGCTGCTGCTCTTCTAGGAATCACCAGGGGTTAGGCTTTTAAAAGAATTACGAAGATCTTAAGTGTAACATGCTCTGAGGTCATTAAAAATCCTTATCAGTGTTTGTAAAATATTTGAATTTACTTGTCTGTTTTCTGGGAGTACATCCCCACTCAGCTTAAACCTAGTAACAAGTATTGCAAAGAACCCTACAGGCAACTAAAATTATTTTAGTTTCTTGCTTTTTTCCACAAACTTCAGGGCCTTTATTTCTCACAGAAACCAAAAATACCTTGCCTATAAAGAGCTGGTTTATTAATATATAAATATCTATATAAATATATCTAGTTGCGGTTGGAACTAAAATTTCACTGTGACACATGCAAGATGCTGCTGCAGCACAGGTTTTCAATTGAATAACTAACTAAGGATTGAGCATTAGATTTTCACCTCTACCTCCATTGCCTCTTGCCAGTGGGGGCAGAACAGAGGATGCATCCTCTCCACTGTTCCTTTGTTATTTAAGGGTGTGTTTTCACAATTAGCATAGGCCTATCCAATACTGCTCTGTTGCTGAAAGGGACTTCCTTGCCCCTCATCACATGCTTGACCTGCTTTACTGATTGCAGCAGTAGTGACTGCGACTTCGTGGCTGTGGAGCCATTTCAGATCATTTACCTAGCTGAAAGGTAAGCCTCCGAGTAAAAGCAGCTAGTTTACAATCAGCTTTTTAGGTTGATATGACTTGTGTTGGGACTGTATGCACAGTCATTAAAGCCAGCACAGGGAAGCGGATCAGGTGAAGGGGACAGCACACCTGGGTCTTTCAGCAACATCCCATAGTTAGGTTACCTTGTCTTGATCATGAAGACAGGGGATAACAAATAGCTGTATTCATAATTTTGGGAGTTCAAATAATAGACGACTGAGATGGAACATGAAGGACTGATGTTAATGTCCCTAGTTAAAACAGCTGCAGTTGCATGTAATACTTTTCTGTCCAATTTTATTTAGGGAAAAAAAAATATTTCTTTAATTCACGCAGTGAGAAGTTATTATGCTTTATGTGACTATTGCGCTTTAAATGTTGTAATACAAAAATGTGAGATGATAAGAAAATAGAGGCCTCCTGTCTTTCAGCTGTTTCCCACCAATTTTGATTGTTGCTTTGATCAGAGCACTGGTAGCTTTAAAGTAGAGAGTTGTATTACCAATTGTCAGAACTATGATAGAAGAAAAATTACTGCTGTAGAGGCTTGGGTTGCTTGCTGTAGTGACCTGCCAAGACAGAACCCTGCCATCTTGTGGAATGCCTTGATATCGAAGCACACAGCTTTGCTTTTCAAAAGACATCTTGCTTCCTCCACCCTTTTTTTTTTTTTTTTTTTTTTCACGATGATGTGTTTGTTTCTACAGAAACGGTGTGACTGGCTCAGGAAGCCCAGAGCAGCTAGTGCCTAAAGCTGGGAGAGTGTCCAGGGAAATGCTCTGAGGAGCCATGATAGGATTTTCCCACTCTCACAGACTTCTCTTGGCGTCTTTTACCAGCCGTGCCAGACTGGATTCTGAATGAAAAGATTTGGCCAGATTGGATAGGCTGTTCTTAGCATCAAGGTAAATAGAACAGTCAGTGGATATGAAGCTCGTATTTCAGCAGGTGGCAAAAGGTAAAAGAAAAGAACATTAAAGACTGTCTGCATGCAGTCTGTGAAAGATGACATTTTAGCATTTGCAAGATACAGAAAGATTTTTGAAGTGGTACATGCCTTTCTGATGAACAAATAGCCCAAACGTTACATTGAAAGTTTTTTTTCTCTTACGTTTTCTAATAAGAATGTATTTTTTCCCAGTTCTTAAAATCTATGTTTGAATACACACCCTGTGCTTCTCAAAGTTTGGACATGGATTTTGTTATAATATGTTTCAAAAGTAGAGTATAATCTGCAAAATGCAGATGATACTCTGACTGTAGTTCAAACTTCCTCCAAACTGGGAATTATGGACTGAAGCTTTTAATTCAGACTCATTTTTGCATCTACATTTTAAAAATACCAACAAATTATTAGAAGATGGACAAAACTGCCAGTCTATCCCCAATCCTTACTTTAAGAAACAATGGAAAGTACTCAGCTTATTCAATACCATTATTAATATAAATTTAGGATTATGATCTCAGCTCTTGTCCTGACTTTTCTAGAGACTTGTGCAGACTATCAAACTAATATTCTTTCTTTCAATTAATGTCTTTTCTCTCTCTTCACTGGACTTAGCAGTTCTATAACATGTTAACACTTGGAAGTCCATAGTTATAGATCTACACTGGATATCAAAATGTTGGCAAGTCTAGGTTCCTACTATCTGTGCTCTGTGAGGGGAAAAAACCAGAATGATACAAAAAAAATAAAATAATAAAAATAGAAAACAAAACAAAACCACCCCACCCAAAACAAAACAAAAACCCACACACAAAAGGAAGAGGAATGTCCAGGAAAAAAAGAAAGAGTACCAGCACAGTGCAGCTGCACTGCAGTACTAGAAACACACTGTACTTCCAACTGTATGAAAGCACGTCTCTACCAGCACAGCAAGAAAGTATAAAAGATTAAGGAGATGCCCCTTGGCACATCTGCTTATTGCAGCTCACTCCTTTTACATCCTCTGGTATTTTTATATTGCATCTCAAATTAACCCAGCACTGATGTTCTCATTTGGCTTTTATACATTTCAGAAGGTGTACCTCAGCTGTCTTACGTGCTTATATCCACAGATAGAGCCATATATACTGCTCTGGAGATGAATCTCATGCCAGAAGCCAGATTTGTTTGATCAATTGCGGATAACTCCTACTGAAACAATGTAAACTTTACTGACAAATGGATCCTTCTGTCATTAAAAATTGCCCCTACATGGCTGTAAAACTGGACTGTGTTTTTTCCCCCATTTTAGGACAGTACTGCTTTGACAACATCACTTTAGTGTGGGTTTGTTCTTCATGCAGGGAGAGAGACAAGCCACTGGCAACAGAAGCTTTATGAACTGTGCTGTGCTAGCTAGGAAGCAGGCTGCAAATCTGGGTCTTTAGCATCTGAGTCAGGAAAGAGAGAGCTCTACTGCGCTTCATAAAATATATATGCTAATCTCCCAGATGGCTATATCTCCTTTCTCCATAGAACAGATGACCTGGAAAAATAAAAAAACTTAAAACACTGGAGAGTGGGAATTCTGGGCCAAAATCTGGGAGCTTGCAGTAGATTTCACAGACAGACTTGGCTCTTAAATTTAGTTGGAATCTGGTTTGATAACAAAATATAGCAATGGCTATTATTATAGCTATTATTATTATTATAGGTCACAGTATAATTTCACATGTAACATGAACCATTCATACATCTGCATCCCTGTAATGAAAAGAAAACAAAGGAAGACTTTCAAAAGAGATTTCTGCCTGCACTAAAAGATATACAGTTAACAGAAATAATGTTTAACTTCGGCTTAGTAATGATTAACATTTGCATACTGTGTATTACCACAGTCCAAGCCACATGCATAGCTCTTATTTAATTTGTCATTGACTGAGTTGCTGCTCCTGTAAAGGAACATCAGAATCGTGCTGCCACACCGGCAACACTGTGCCACAGTTTTGCAAGTGTGTGGAACAAAAATGTAACTTATTTGAATAGAGGAATTGAGATTAGTGCAGTGCATATACTCTCACCGGAGTTCAGCAAAGATGCTACAGCAAACCTTTCAGGTTTCTGAAATCTTTATATGTGCAGATGGCATTGATCTTCCTTTTTATGTTTTATGTGAAAAATGAAGCAGCAGCACAGTA